TTGTCACTACTGATTGTTGTTGTTGAAGTGATGGTGGGGATAGAATATAATGTGTCATCACATCCTCTGAGTTAAAAAAAAAAAGAAAAAAATGATGCTCTAGTTGGGCAAAAAAAAAATTGAATGGCACACCTGGTATGAGTAGGTCAACATTAGGTTGGTCTCCATCATCTCCAGCGTTTTGTTCAAGGTTGAGGAGGTTGGTTGTGGCTTGATCAGGAGCTTGGGGCACAAGTTTGATACTGAACAAAGCGGCCAGAGTGTCTTTGTTCCTGTTGTGAAGTACCCAATGATCCTTTGGCTGTATTTTGTCCCAGAGCGCTTTGCTGTACTCCCTCTTGTACATGCTCAATCGAATGAACTTGGTTATGATCTGCTGTGTCATCATTGAGACACCATTGCTTGTACCATTGGTGGCGTTGATCTTGATTGACTTGTTAATCTTGTGGCAACCTGTTACAATGATATTTAAAGATGTTAGCTGTGTGCTGACTGTCGTGGCGTCACCGACTTGTTGATATGTGTGCGGCATGATCATACCTTCAAGGCTAAAGTTAGAGAACAGTTCCAAGTTTCCAAACTTGTGAAGGTAAAAGCCAAAGTGGTACGTGAACACGTGCGAGTAGGAGATGGCGCTGGTTGGGCCATACAGCGCGGCTAGATTGCTCATCCATACTTTGGCCATGGACATCCAATGCTTCTCTGAGATCTTGCGGCTCTTCTTCACATTGAACGCAACGTTCAACAGTGAGTAGAGTTGAGCCCACGCAGTTCCAACAGCGACTGCTCTGAGACCCTGTCCTTCGGTACATCGTTTGAAGAGGTCAATGAGTTTCTCGTAGTTGAAGAGGATCTGCTTGCACTCCTCAAAGTTCACCCTAGAGTGTCTGAATCGCTCCACAAGGCTAGCGTCTCCCTTCTGGATAAGTGATAACTTGATCCCCTTGAAGGTGTTCCAGACATCTGTCTCAACAGTCTGCAGGGGTACTCGGCCTCTGTATTTCATAATGTCGATCAACAACCACCTGGTCTGTAGTTTGATCAATGACATCGCCACGTGCAGAAGGTCTGGAATGAATGATTTCATGGTAAGGAAATCAAGTATTGGATGATGCTGGATGTTGTAGTTTGTTAGCAAAAATGTCTGATTGTGATTTAATGATTGATCGCGATTGGATGTGATGAATGAGCAGAGTTGAGTGAGTGAATGATTGAGTGAGTGTCTTACCTTGTGGCCGTAGGCCAATGCTGGGTTCTTCTCGTTTGGTTTAACACCTGATAGTAGTCGTTGTTGGTGACTTGGAATTGAACAATCGTGAAGTTGATCTTTGGTGACGTTGCACCAAGGGCAACGATACTTGGTCTGTGACATCCATACAGCATACAATCCAAACATTTCCAGGAGCAGCGCCATGTCAGCAACGACTACTGGCTCGATTGAATATCGTCTGTTGTGCATTAATTGTTGCTATGTTAGTGATTGAATGTACACGTGTTTGTTTGCAAGTATACATACATGTCCTGTGACTGTTCATTGTCATCTTTGATATCGTCTGATGTCATAAAGAACTTTTGTCTGCCTTGGAGCAGTTGTCTAAGCTCTGAGATAAAGTTCTCAAGCTGCACTGTCAGAGTCTGGTGTAACTCGTCGCCGACATACGCCAAGAAGATGTGACTGTCATATGGACACTTGACCCTCATCTTGGTCTTTGATGCATAGATGAGTTGGACGCAACCAATGACCAACTTTTGATTGTTTGAAAGTGTGCATCCATCAATACTGATCTTCAGAAAGATCTTCTCTGCCTTGTATGCTCTCTGGCCTGGTGGGGTCGCTGCATTTCCAACAGTGACCTTGACCACAGGCTTCTTAGTCTTGTCTAGATTCGCTCGCTCCTCCTTGAGCATGAGACGCACCAAGTTGGTGAGTGGTACATACGTCCCATCAGTCTGTTCTTTGATATTGTACTTGTTTACGATCTCTGTGTTTGAGAATGAATGAATAATTATTAATAATTGAAAGGTTAATGAATTGATGTATATATGTATTAATGTTTGTATGTATGAATGAATGAATGAATGAATGAATGAATGAATGAATGAATGTGTGAGTGATGTTGATCAAATAAGAAGTGATAGAATTAATTATTAAATGAATTAAAAAAAAATCCATGTTGTTGAATATAATGGTGGGTGGTGGTGATCATTCATTCATTCAATCAATCACAATTTCTAACTTACCTTGTTGTAGAGCTTTAACCTTATCTAGAGAGTATTCTTTCTTATTCAGACACAACTTCTCGAGGAACTCCTTCCACAGGTGGTCTGAAATCATGAACAGATCTTTGACTGCAGCAATATCGTCAAGTGGAACAAACTTATTGGCCTCGCGCAATCGCTCTTTCATCTCATCTTTGCAAACAGTACAGACAAGTGGTGAACAATCTGGATGATCGCGATGGTAATGCAGTGCTAGGTTGGCTGGTGAATACATTTTACCAGTTGAATGGCTTTTACAAATGTTGTGTGGACATCGAACACCTTTGGCTTGTTTGGCACTGGACTCATCCTCTACCTTCTTTCTCTTCAAGCAACCAGGACATTGGTCAGAACAATGGTGATGCACGCTTTTCTCATGCCTCAACAGTTTGGCTTCTCTCTTGAAGTCATGTCCTGTATTTATGCATGGAGGTGTGTGTTCACACCTGAACTCCTTTGCCATGTTGGCAATAATTAATTAACTATTATTGTCTGCAGTAATAAGTAAGTAAGCTATATAGTTATCTATTAAGGATTAGAGCTGTTGTGTACTCATACAAGTGAGGGACAAACATGAGTTTACATACACCAGTTCAGGCTCCTGCTTCACCATACACATGACCATACACTTTGATCAATAAATGTTCAACTTTTATTTGTATCACACACCTATCTGATTATGTGTACAATCAACAATCCCACACCCACACACTTGTGTGCGGGGGAAAGGGACAAACATGAATCCATCAGCGTGTACATCTACAGGAATCGATCTATATATAATATGTGACTGTTGAACCTATTCTTACAAAGTATAGCTTGTAGAGACATTATTTCCCATTACACGCCAAGAGTCGCACTCCAACTGCCACCAACGTCTCGATAACACCTACAATTGACATACCAACAGACTCAACACATCAAGGTGAATCGATAGATATATTGTACATCACTTCTGAAGCTATTCTTTAGCAACACATTCAACAACAGCCAGGATACACTCACATTGTGGCATCAACTACGATCGTCGCACTCCACTGATCACCAACATCGTCCAACAAACACCTATGACACATCATCAGACTCGACCCATCAAGATGAAACGATACATAAGAGGCAGAGATGTTCGCACGCCTGACCAGGGAGAACAAGCATCTGACACTGCAGTGTGTCACGGTGGCCTGCCACAGTCGTATCTACACCCTGCATGATTTCGGCGACGTCCCCGCCTACTGCACCACGCTGTACTACTGCTTCGATTAGCAGGATCGCGATCTCAGTAGCATTCCCGAGCACATCTACATGTTGTTCTTCAAGAAGCGTGTTGATGGCCAGATGCACGGATCAATACCGACCTCGGTCACACGACTGAAGCTTGACAGCAAGTGCTTCCATCTGCTGACATCGGCCGCGATGGAGGCGGTTGCAGCAGGCTCGTTGACCTACCTCAGTCTGGAGCATCCTGGCACGGAGCAACAACAACCCAGACGATGATGGATAGGACAACAATGTATGTCACTGCAGACAGCGGACACCTACCAGTCCATTGACCAACTCTTAGAACACCAAAGGTGTCAGACACCGTCACCTCAATTCTGCTCCAGGATTCAAACCAACCATTCCTCAAGGGATCTTTGCCACGATCTCTGACGCACTTGGAGATTGGTGCTCCCTTCGACCAACGYTTGGACGATGGCGATGGGGGATCTATCCTCCCCGCTGCTCTGAGGACCCTCTACATATGGGGGCCATTCAACCAACTGTTACCACCTGGTGCACTTCCATCATCGTTGACCTTGCTCAACCTGAGCGACACCTACATCCATGATCACAACCTCGTTCCTGGGTCGCTCCCGCCGTCATTAATCACGCTCTCCATTGCGTCGCTCCAAATGCGACCGGGTTTTCTTCCGCCATCATTGACCGACCTCACGATTGTCAACAGTCGCGATCGCGAAGATATCCCTCCTGGGACAATCACGTCCGCTCTTAAGAAGTTGAATATTCACTTAATGAACGAAGCGATGTACCCGGGCTCTATCCCTCCAACACTGACATCGTTGTCCATAGGCTCGTTCGATATCTCAATCATTGCCAACGCCTCCTCGTCTGATGGTCGAGATCTACACCCATGGGCAACTCGATTGCAGTCATCCAGGATGCTGGCTGTGCAATAATCGACTATGGGGTTGAGCACTATGACACATCAAAAGACTCGACACATCAAGATGAAGCGATACATATAATATTCATCGTCTTTGGAACAATCTACATCAACTTTGGTCAACGACATTAAACTACACAGGTAAATACCAATTGGTCCGAGGACGCCCAAACACCCAAGACGAGGCCAACAAAGTCCTCCAATAGTGGAGACCGGTGCCCATCACACTATATAGTGGATGTACCAAGAAGGGAACACACTACTGGTTACCTCGATCGATCTGGGACCAACACATGACAATAGGTCGCATCCTCCATCTTTTACCCGTGCTGCCCAAGACATACTGAAGATGACAAAGACGATTCTGGAAAGGGGTACAGCAAATGAGCCAACGCCAGCAAATAGAACGGTGATATCAGTACGTTACCGATGAGATTGAGTACGATGGTAACGAAGAGGTTTGGTTCATGACTCCGATACAGGCATTCAAGGTAAGAGGTAAATGGTTATTATCGATTCATATCCACTTACTGATGACCATTCTTAATAAAATGACATTCTTTATGAACGACTGGTCACTTCATTATCATCATCATCATCAGTCTGTCTTGAACGTCCAAATCGTGAGAAACGATCTCCTTCGTCCTTCTTGTTGTCTCCTCCATTGTCAATGTGAAATATGGTTGTTCTCTGACCAAAGTGCCTATCATTGTTGTTGTTCTTTGAATGACCGTTGTATTTGATAGCTCCACGTCCCTTGAATGTCTTTCCCTCGCCAATCACTCCTGAATCTCTAAGTGGCTGCCAGGGAGTCTTTGAACGATCCTTTAGCCGATCCATGGATCCACTTCTGGACCTGGATCGATCTCGGTCCGACTTGTCCTTTGAACGACCTCGTTTCCTTTCCTTCCTCTTTCTAGTAGATTCGCCTTCATCGCTACTATTGCCATCATCATCATCATCATCATCATCACTTCTAGATCTTTTCTCTTTCTTTCTTTCACGCCTAGCTCTCCTTTCTTCTTTCTTCCTCTTTCTCCTATCCTTGCGTTTTTTCCTCTCTTCCTCGCTGTCAGTACTACTATTGCTTGAACTAGAGTCGCTCTCTACATCTTCTTTTTTTACTTGTGCTACCGAATCATCAGTTAGTAGTTCCTACAAGTTGACAACACAGACTACAGTCGCTAACTGTGCGTGACACACATACCCTTTCGAATCAGCTCTCCACAATGGGAAATCTTGACGTCAGCGAAAGGTTTATCGTTCTGACCAGTTAACACTGAGTTTAGAATGTCAACGATAGCCTTGCCATCGACCACTCTTCCAAATACTACATGTTTGCTATTTGTTGGTTATGTTGGTTAGTTTCTAATGCCTATCATCTGTTATCCTCTACGACTACGACTACACATACCCATCAAGATGAGGTGCAGCATTGGTAGTGATGAAGAACTGTGAGCCGTTTGTGTTTGGACCTGCGTTAGCCATTGACAACAAGTATGGCTCGCTGTGCGTCTTCTTAAAGTTCTCATCATCAAAGCGATGTCCATAGATTGACTCACCGCCAGTGCCATTCTTGTTCTGAAAGTCACCACCCTGTATCATAAAGTTCTTGATAATACGATGGAATGGACTACCCTTGTAGTGAAGACGTAGTTGAAGTCGTTGTGACAGACCCTTCTCACCTGTGCAAAGACATCTAAAGTTCTCTGCTGTAATCGGTGTAATATCTGTATACAACTCAAATATTATCCTACCAACTATAGATTGATTGATTAATAACATATACAATGATGATGATGAATATGATGATCAAATAATACATACTCTGCTTTGAATCAATCTCCACATCAAAGAACGTTCGAGGTCTATCTGTCATTGTTATTTGTTTGAGAGCTTTGTTTAATGGTGAGAATATTGGGTCAACTTTTATTATTATCCAGACATTGTTACATCTCCTCCTTTGTTGTTGCTGATGTTGTTGTTGGGGAATATCTCTCTCCTTATTTCATTGGTGATGATGTGATGCGTCTGATGTCTCAACAGAGTACGTATGGCCTCCTTCTGATCGGTCTTGATGTCATTCTTGAAACGTTGCACAAAGACCAACAGGGAATGGTGCCATAAAACGGGCAATTGACGACGCTCTTCGTTGAAGGAGACAAAATGACGAACCAAAGCATCGATCACTCGGTAGGGCAGAGAATACTTCTTGTCTATAAGTGTCCTGATAAAGATGCTGGTGGCTCCATTGTACTCTGTGAGTCCCGCAAGTTTGATGAGGGCCACTGAAGAATGTAACACGGGGATGGAGACCTTGGCCACAACGCTTGCCACGATCTTTGCCTCGAGCAGTGTGCAGTCGCCACCCTCGGCCAATGGCAACAGAATGGCCTTGTAGAAGGCCTGTGGTCTATAGAGTGATTTCTTCAACGCCATGTAATAGTGGAAGTTGAGCTTCTTATGATCGGCAATATCATCCCTTATCTTTGGAAGTAACACAATAGAGAGGAATCTATAATAATGAATACCTTGTTGTAAGTAACTCATTGTACAATGAACAAAGTTTGGATAGGTATACATACCTTTGGGTTAGTTTGGCATTTGTTCCCATACAGAACAACTTGGTGGCAACGAATGTAGCATTTGGAGACCACTTGTCTGGACGTGTTAGGTAGAGCAAGTCCTCCCAGTTGGCAAAGTTTGGAAGGATACGGAATGCACGAGGGATCTTTCCTGCCGTGTACGAATGCAGCAAAAGACCAACCTTTGTGAAGACATCCACCACCTTTGGATCGAGTTGGTTCTTGGGATCGACAGTCTTAGCCTCTTGTTCCTTCAGCTTGCTCTCAATGAGTTCACCCAGTGTGAAACGGATGCCACCTTTGGTGCCAACACCACCATGTCCATTCATAAACATGGACAGAATCTTCTCGTCCTCAGCGTCAATCTCTTCGATGATCTCCTCGTCAAAGTCACGCTCGTTGTCATCATTTCCAAAGTCATCAAAGTTATCTTCGTTGTCGCCTTCGTCGTCACGGTAAATGGATGGATCCTCCTCTTCCTCCAAATCGTCTTGGAATGAGAGCAGACGTGATTGTTGACGCTCACGCTCACCCTGTGTTGTTGTGCTGCCCCTGCTGCTGTTGGCTGCGACCTTTGCTAGAATAGACTCTTCAATCTCCTCATCGTTGATCTCTTGCTGTTGCTCTCTTATTGCTGACATGATTTTCTTTGACAACTGTTTTGGTATGACGGACTCTGTCTCGTCTACGTATTCATCATTGATATCGTTTCTCTTTTTCTTGAGCATACCCTTTCCTGTCCTCTCTCTTGACACCTTGTGAGCATTCTGTGAATCGACAATCTGTTTTCCCAATGGGTCATGTCTTGGTGCAATCTTTCTAGTTATCTTTTCTTTTCCCATTCTCTATATATATATATTTATTATTATTATATCTATCTCAATGATCATTAGGATAGAGAAAGAGAATCACTTTCGTTTTTGATGTGTGTATCAAAGCATTAAATTTATTTAAATTTGTTTTTTTTTCACAAACAAAACGAAAGGTGAACCCGTAATCATCAAGACAAAATAACAACCAATAATAACAACAACAAATAACAACAATAACGATGGGTGTAAGTGGTCTCAATGGATATCTTGAGAAATACTTTGGCATTGTAGAACAACCTAGCTATCATGTCAAATCGAAACATTACTTTATAGACATGAATGGTCTCATTCATATGGTCCTCCGTCGTTCCAAATCCAATGATATCGAACAAATCAAGCACAATCTATTGAGTTCGTTGCGCATTCATCTCAACCAGAAACACACACGCCAACTACAATCGGTGCATTACTATTTCGATGGACCTGGCACTAGATCAAAGATGGTGCTTCAAAGAAAGCGCCGGTCAAAGGTAACAATCACACATTTATACTCAAAGGTCCTCAATCCCATCCCTTCCACTAACACCAAATGACTCACTATAGGCAGTGCCCGAGGAAAAGATAGATGCGATACATGCCACACCTGGAACCGACTTTATGGGACATCTAAAGCAAGCGGTATCGGGATTCGCACAGGACTTGCTAAAGGAAACACAGAGCACTATAGACGAGATTTACTTGTCTGGCAGCGATCGATGGGGCGAAGGAGAGTACAAGATATTCGAATATATCAATGGCAAACAGTGGGACAAATCAGAGGTACTATCCATCATGACATGTGACTCTGACACTATTCTCTTTGGTATGTATGTTTGCAACCCTTTGAGTACTCAATATGAGCTTTCCTGACTCCCCTACGATATCTACCACTGGAACAAATAGCACTCTTGTCAGATGCAAACATCAAGCTATTCAATATCCTTGGTACACAAATGAAGGATATCAATGAGTTGAAGTTCAGGATCACCTCTCGTGTCCCACACCGTACTCCAAGTAAGATTCATTACTTGGTTTGATCCACTCAAACCGGAAGTCAACTAACTAACTGAACAACTCAAACCTAAACACAGAGCAAGTTCTCACAGACTTTGTATTTCTGAATCTGTTCAGAGGTAATGACCTTTTACCATCACTTGGAAGGTTTGAGTTTCACTCAGTATGGAGGGCCTATACCAACAGCACAAGCACTGAGGGAATATACAACGCCGAACAATCTCAGATCCATTGGCCATTGTTACTGGACGTCCTGTCCAAGAATCAGTTTGTAAGTACCCATCATGTGTAATTACACTTGGGCCATGCTATATATTACACACATAATAATTAACAACACAATATATTAGGCTGGAGCTACACCTGCAAAGATTACTGCCAGGATAGAGTTTAAGAATATCTTGTCCTCATTGAATCGATTCTTGGGCAGAGTGGAGGATCGTCGTATCACTTGTCACGAGGTTTCTATTATCGATCCCAACACTGGTAAGAGTGAGACCATTCTGGCCATGGACGGTAGGAAGATTGGACCATTCTCTGTTGGTAAGCAAGGTGGCAGTGTCTCAGAGGATGAGCCCTACAAGGAGCTTTTAAACCCCGATCATCAATTCTGGACACACTACAAGGACCAACTCAGTCCAGAACAATGGAGAAGGATTGAGGACATGTGCATTACCGCAAGCAAACAACTCTACACTAGGCAACAAGAGCTTCCCTCCATTGAACATTTCCTCGAAGGTGTCATCTGGCAGATGGACTACTTGAGAGGCAAATGCACACACTTTGGCTATCACTATCGATTCTTTTCGACACCAGATATCACCGACATCAATCAATGTACCATTCCACCCAACTCGATCAAGTCGGATCCACTTCCTCCTCTTCAATTCTGTTTGGCCCTGACACATCCGATCAATAAGTATTTGGTCAACGATTCACTCCACTCGTTGTTTGACGAGTTGCCACACTTTGATACAGCAAGCCATATTCAAATCAATGTAAGTGGGTTCCACCTAGTTAACTAGCTAGATGTAGCAACACCAATACCAACACCTACAAATTCATATAGGCTTGGAAACAAGAGAATGCTTTGAAATCAATCAGTGAATCATTCAATAAGGTTCTCGATCGATCAAAGTTGAGTCCCATGGAGTTGGATCATCTGCGGTTCAATCCAACACTTTGGTACAAGAGGGATGGAGAATCAATCTATTTACAGGAGGAGGTACTGAATGTGGATAAAACACACACATACACAGAGCCAAAGCTCATTGGCAAGACCAATAACAACTCATCAACAAGGAACGTCACGGTGGTCACCAAGCTACAGTCCTCACAGCAACAAGCAGCACCATATCGTCCAAGGAGTCAGATGATGAGCAACAATAATGCGCAATATAGACCAGCGACATCATCCAAACACAGTAGTGCAACATTCCAACATGGAAAACATGTTTCATCAAGTTGGACACCTCATCTTAACACTACCACGACGACAACGACAACCACAACTGCAACAACAAACAGTAATGGAAGCAGGAACTTTAACACCCTAAAACCATTCAATCATGTTTCGCCTCCAAGTCGCAACTTGACAAGAAATATTTCCAATCAACTGTTGTGGTTTTTGCGTAAATAACGAACGAATATTCAAAACAAAAAAACAAAATAAAGGTCTTGAGTGTGTTTGTGAGTGTTTTACATGATCATGATTATGTGAACGATTTTCAACCTTCAAACAATTACAGATAGATAATAGAAATCCAATACAATTTATCTCTATCTATCTATAAAAAGACACACAACGACAACATGTTATTGTGTGCAACAAAAAGATTCAATAGACTACACTCAGTAGTCTACACAAGCCCAACAACAAGTTCATCTGTTGTCGGATCTCATTCCCAACCAATATGTCTGTCGTACTCAACAAGCAGCTGGGTATGTATTTAGACATCACAACATAACAAACATCTTACAAACCAACTAACCATTAACTTACTGGATCATCGTCAACAAAGCAGCAATCAACACAGTCCAACAGGACCACTATATTCCCACCTCCACCATCAACAGGAACCAGTGATAGCCCCCACTCAAAGAGTGCTTCGACGACATCATCATCATCAGTGCAGTCTGGAGCATCATTTCAGATACCAGTCTCACCAATCCCACCATCGGGCAAAGTCAACTTCTTTGTCCAACCAAACAAACCACAGCAACAACAACAACAACAGAGCCAGGATTTTAACCTAATGTTCCCACCTCCAATTGCTCCTCATGTGGCCAACCTCAATCCACAAGCATTCCCAAGTTTGCCCCCTCTTGCCAATAAGTCTGGCAGCCAAACCAGATTCCATCCATTATACCAAAGAACACAGCAACAACAACAACAACCTTTAAACCCTCTCATCAAACCACCACAACACAACAATCCCCTGTTTAAGCCACCACAACAACAACAACAACAACAACAACAACAACAACATAGTATAGGTAATCCCCTTGCTAGACCTCCACAACAGATGAATCCACTCTGGATACATCAGCAACACAACAACCAACATCAACAACAACAACAACAACAACAACAACAACAACAACAACAACAACAACAACAACAACAACAAATCCCCAAACAGAACCAACCACAGCAAATCAACAACAAACCACAGCAACAACAAGATATCAAACAGAAACCAGTAACAATGTTGGATAACTTCAAGGACTATAGGGAGAAGAGCTCAAAGAAGAACTTGACCAAGGAGTCCAACGGTAGAACTGTCATGCTGCCACTGGTCCCCACACCAAAGACAATGTCCTCCATTACAGGAAAGTCAACAGTGGAGATCCTCAAGTGGATGATAAAGATGGGCGAAGCACCCATGAGGTCAGACATTGTGCTAAAGGAGGATGTGCTTTCGTTGCTCTCACAGGATCTGGGTGTCGATTTCACACGTCCAAATGCTAGCGAGGAACATCAACGCAGAGACCGCAAAGTGGACAGTACATGGAAGCGAAAGACACCAGTGGTGACAGTTGTTGGACACATTGACCATGGCAAGACCTCCCTACTCGACTACTTGCGCAAGACCACTGTGGCCGAACAGGAGGCCGGCAGAATCACCCAGCACATTGGTGCATTCGAGGTGGAGCTAGGAAGTGGCCAAAAGATTACCTTCATGGACACACCAGGACATGCTGCCTTCTCAACCATGAGAGTGCGTGGTGTCAACTCTACAGACCTTGCTATCCTGATCGTTGCCGCCGACGATGGCGTTCAAGAGCAGACAATTGAAGCAATCAAAGCTATTCAGTCGGCCAATGTACCTATGATCGTCGCTATCAACAAGATTGACAAACCAGGTGCTGATATCGACTCAGTCAAGCGTGAGCTTCTTCAAAATGGCGTGGCTCTGGAGGGACACGGAGGACAGGTGCCTTATGTGGAGATCTCAGCAAAGACTGGAGAGGGCATTCAGAGCTTGGAGGACACCATTCTATTTGCAGCCGACCTCTACGATCTGTTGGCAAGCTATGAGGGCAACTCAGAGGCAGTTGTCATCGAGTCCACGTTTGTTAAGAATCTTGGTGTCAGCGCAACCATCCTCGTCAAACATGGAGTACTAAAGACAAGTCAATTCTTTGTATGTGGTGAGAGCTATGGAAAGATCAGAGAGATGAGGAATCACAACAACAAGCCCATGAAAGAGGCACCTCCATCTTGTCCAGTTCAGGTGTTTGGTTTCAAGTCATCAGAGGCACCAAAGCCTGGTGACGAGTTCTACGTTGTTGACTCGGAACAGAAGGCCAAGGAGATTATCGAGGCAAAGATCGAGAAGAGGAACCAAATGCAAACGTTCGACTTGACAGAGAGTAACGAGAGCAACAGTAACGATGACAAGTCAAACCTACACTCAAAGAAGGGAACATTCAAGAAGTATCAGGATGAGAGCAAGCAAGAGGACGACCCAGAGGCCATTGTCGAGGAGTTGAGATCCAAGCTCAAGTCAAAACCATTCGAGGAGAAGGTGGCTGAGCACAAGGTGGCAAACCTCTATCTGAAGGGAGATGTAGGAGGATCTCTTGAGGCTCTGACAATTGCACTCAAGACCCTGCCAGAGGACAATGAGATCACCTACAACATCTTCAAGACAGGCTATGGAGAGGTCACAGAGGTGGACCTCAAGGAGGTTGGAGTCATGCAATCACCACTTGTCTACTTTGGTCCCAAGCTGGAGGGACGCATTGTTGAGACAGCACACAAGAGAGGAATTTCAGTGATTGAAGGAGATGTCATCTATCACGTGGTGGACAGGCTCAAGGTTTATTTGGAGAGTCTGCTGGATCCAGTTCCAATCTACACGATCACTGGTGAGGCCAAAGTACAGCAACAATTCAACATTGACATTAGCAATCAAGTGGAGGTCACTGTCGCTGGCTGCAAGGTCACAGATGGCTTGCTCAAGAAAGGATCAAAGGTCCGTGTCAAGAGAGGAGAGGAGATCATACACGAAGGCAGAATAGAGATTCTAAAACATTTTAAGGAGACGTAAGTAACGCTACTCTTGGAAGTGAAGACATGTTGTTCCAAAAGGTGGTTGCTGACACAACTTTGCAAACAATCAAACAACAGTGTTAAAGAAGTGAACAAAGGCCAAGAATGTGGTATCTGTATAAAGAACTTTGATGACATTGTTGAGGGTGACCTTATCATGGCATTTTCCAAGTCTGAGGAGAGAAGGAAACTCGGAGAACACTTGAAGGTCTACCGGTAGATGACCTCAATCAATAAAGCACAACCCCTTTTTGAGTCCGTCACCAGTCTACGTCTTTAGTTTTTTTTAGTGAGTGTTGGCAACCAAAAAAGGGCAAAAGAGTGTGGTTTTTTCTTTTTGGGGGATTTTGAATGTTCATCATTGTGTATGAACATTGGTTAATGCCTTTCGCGAATACACTGTCATTCACACAAGCAGAAACTTTTTAACAACAAATAATAATTAACAATACAGATAATAATATATATATATTAAACAAAATATAGAAACATGAAGAACGCTCTGAAGTTTGTGTCGGTGGCAACAAACAACCCTCTGAAGATTCGTTTAAAGCCAATAGCGTATGAAAGAGACGAGCAATCTTCATTCAATGTTGATCCCCCAAGTCCGATGGCCATCAAGGTACGATCAATAATGAAGAGACACTATTGTCAGGACGATACTAATTTGTATTATTTCTATTTATATATAGGAGTACAGACGTCGAAGCTACTTTGGAAAGGGTTACAAGTTGAGTTAACTTGTATCCCAAAATTGCTCACAGTAGAGAGATAGAGGAGTTAGAGAGAGAGAGAGAGAGAGAGAGAGATATATATTGTCTAGATGTCAATTGTATATGAACAGAAAAGCAACAACTGCAGTACATGAGAAAGAAGAGACAAGAATGAGATAAATTTGTACACCGGTGATGTATATGACGTTCGAACGTACAATCCACCATGGAAAAGCGATTCAGGTGTACAGCAACATTATAATCGTCAAGAGTGATTTACAGAATAATGAATATATGTATCTGTACTCCGATTACAGAATTTAATGTTATTATAAATTATTATTCATTGTGATGTTGTTTTTTTTTGCAAACTCACTGGTATACCAGGGTAGGAGACATCAACCCAATATAGAGCATTATTTGTTTGGAAGAACTATTAGATAGAGATATCACAATGCATACGCAACAACAACAACAACAACAACAACAACAACAACAACAACAACAACAACAACAACAACAACTGCTTCTTCACAATAGATACCAGATATTAGCACTGGTTGGAGAGGGTAGCTTTGGTGCAGTCTACTCTTGTAGAGACAATACAGAATCAGAGACAGTTTGTATGAAGATTGTAAAGTGTCCTAGTCTGTTGGATAAGGACAATGCTATCAAAGAGGTCCAAATACTTCAGAGACTCCATCATCCATATATAATAGGTTATAAGAGGACACACTGTAATGACCATGAGTTACATATTGTAATGGAGTATGCTCCACATGGTGACCTCCAGACAAGGGTCCTTGACAAACGTATTGGACAAGTGGATTATTTGCCAGAGAGTGTATGTATCAATGAATAAATAATCAAACTCAACCATATCAATACTGACAATATATAGTAGCAAGTACTTAGATGGTTTATACAACTGTGTTTAGCCATTAACTTTATACATGGCAATAATATTATCCATCGTGACATCAAGCTCAAGAACATTCTACAAGCATCTGACAGTGTTGTAAAGCTATCTGATTTTGGAGTGTCCAAGATTCTATCGACAGCCAGCAATGAGGCATCCACTTGCACTGGCAGCGCTCACTACATGAGTCCAGAGATTCTTAGCAGAGAGAGATATAACTACAAAACTGATATTTGGAGTCTGGGTGTTGTACTCTACGAAATGCTAACCAAGAAACATCCATTCCCGTAAGTATCATAGTTGATTCCCAACACAAACCTCTACTAAAGATAAACATAGTGGCAGGACAGGGGAAGAGATTGCTCGAAACATAAAGGCTGGAAAGTATGAACCTATAAGAGGAAAGTATGTATAATTGTAGGTTGTTACCTTTCAGTATTATTTTAAGTTTAGACTTACAATTCTATATAGCTATTCAGAGTGTTTGAATGCCCTGGTGCGATGTATGATGAACATGAATCCAAGGTTGAGACCTTCAACCTTTGAGATTCTAGAGAAGCCAATCATCAAAGAATATTTAAACACTGACCCTGATCTAAAGGCAATTGTGGACAAGTTCATTATCTTTAGAAAGGGTCGACCTGAAACATGTCAGTTGGTGAACAGACACAAAAAATCAGAAGGCAATGATCCTCAACTTCAATCACCAATGGATCATCTCCTATTGATATCCAAGCTACCCTCTGTAGGTTCTGATGATCAATTTATGAATAGGTCCACTAATCCAGTAGTCACTGCAGTCTTCAATCCAAGTGTTCTTAAAGAGAGGTACGATCAATTATGAGGACCAATAGATATGGTATCTACATATGACTTATTTCTATATTCACTCTCCTACAGGAATCATAGTGATGATGAGCTTCAGAACCTTTTAGATTTGGCCATTCAGAGCTATGGATTGGATGGACACCCTAATTCAAACGATTGGGGCATAAATGTTAACTTGTGCAAGAAGTTGGACATCCACCCTACGTCCTATAACATTAACTCTACATCATTCGAGATGGAGCTAATCAGGAGTCACCTGGAGAAGAAGAGGAGAGCTCTCGTTGATGAGGACTACACCGACTGTGACAACTATCTCACAACCAAAAGGGAAGAGTTGATGAACTATAATCTTTAGACTATAAACAGTTCTTTTTGTGTTCACAATGTAGAGATTTAACTGTAAAGTAGGAAGGCAGCTCAATTCGGATAACAATCAGAGGATGTTGGAAATTATTTCCATTATATCTACAAAAATTGTCAGAACAGAAATAATCACATGTTAATTGATCTGCCTTGGTGTTATTCTTTACATGACCTTACTTATATTTATTTTATGACAAGTGAACTAGACAGATATCAGTTCCTAAATACCATTGGAAAAGGTGGACAAGGAGCAGTCTATCATTGCAGAGATAAGATCGATGGAAGGGATTGCTGTTTGAAGCACGTCGTTCTGAGTGTCAGTAGAGAGTTGAAAGATCACATGCTCGAGCTCGACATACTTGGTATCTTTAGAGAGCATCCGTATGTGATCACAATGGACAGGTACTTTGTCATCGAGTCAAATCTCTATATAGTAATGGAGTACTCTCCATATGGTGATCTCCTCCATGTCCTCTCAAAGCTAAAGAATAATGGTAAGAGTCTTTCTCTTAAAGTATGATATCGATCGAACCTTGATGAACGAGGATAACATCATCAACAACAACAACAACCCAGTGTTCTAACTCGATAACGTGTCCTGCAGAATGTACTTAGATGGCTCGTACAGATTAGCTTGGCACTGCACACGTTTCACAACACTGGATATGTACATCGCGACATCAAACCAAGAAACATATTATTGATGGAGGGAAACATAGTCAAACTGGCAGACTTTGGAGCATCGATACCAATGTCATCAAAGAGCGACAGACTCGACTTTGTGGGAACACATCGATACATGAGCCCAGAGATGTTTAGAGGAGAGAAACATAACTTTGCCACAGACATTTGGAGTCTGGGCGTTGTACTACTCGAGATGATCAGCCAAAGGCATGTCTTTGATGGCAGCAACAATGAAGATATCAAAGAGAATGTAGTACAAGGTCGTTTTATGTCTACAGATGAATTGTAAGTTGGTCCGATAACATGGAGTCCATTATCTTTTACTTAAAACATTAATGTTTGTCCTTCATGACAGACCTATACCGAATGATCTGAAAGAACTTATAAACTCTATGCTACATCAATCTCCAGACAAAAGACCTTCAACGGAACATATACTCAAGAGTACAGTGATTAGGCAATTCTTAGAGAATGACACACAATTGTCCAAACAGGTGGACCAATATGTGACTACGAGTCGACCAGAGTCTACCAGTTGGAGAGATTGCACTTATCACCAAATCTCGTCACTTTGTCAGAGTGTCAAGAAGTCCAAAGCAACGGATCCTATCCAAGAGGACATTGATATTTCAGTGCCTAAGTATCGATTGGATAATAATCCAGACAAGAGACTTGACCTCAACAGTATTCAAATATTATCTGACGACGACAAGTTAATGTATGTTGCATTCATTCCTTGATGATGAACCTATAGACTATTAACCAATATAATCAACAAAGTGGCAACAATCTACAATTGACATTGGTTGAAGGAATGAAGGACCGAATGAGGAGCATCAAGATGGTACATTGGGACATTGATGAGGAGTTTCTCCCTCGTATAGGTATAAACATCTCATCCTATCAACCCACCAGCGATGCATTCGAAGTGGAGCTAATAAGAAGCAGATTGGAAATGATACCAGAGGAATATAGAGTGAACTATCGCAAAAGCATAAACGAATTCCTACTGCACAAGCAATACACAATGATGAGTAGTAACAATGCAGACCTTCCTCCACCACCCAGAAGGAAGAAGAAAAGGGACAGGTAATATTTCCATTAAAATGTATTCTATAACTGTCATTACCTCTGCAGAGGGAGGATTTACTATTTTGATCTCCATTTAGAGCTTGGATTGTTGTCTCTCCTTGGCAACAATATAGTCGTAAGCGGAAGGAGTCAAGAAGTCAACAAATTCGGGTGAGGCAACTAGGAGCTCGAATATTCCAATTGCATGCTTCAAAGTAGGTCTTGGTTTGGCTACTTTCTCAACCTCTGCCAAAACACTTCTGAAGTAGGCTAATGTGATGGTTGTTCCGTTGGAAAACTTGGCGCCATGACGAATCCATTGCCAGACTGATGAAGAAGATATAGATTAGTATTTTTCCAAGTCCATCAATGACCACTGATTACTTACTTTGGGATCTAGATATCTCGGCGGTAGCAGCATCCTCCATGAGATGGTTGATTGGGACGCACCCGTTTCCATTCAACCATGCCTCAATGTAGTCAACACCAACAATGATGTTACTCTTGAATCCAGCTTCAGTGATATCACCTGGGGATACGGGAGTGACGTTCAACAGGTCCTTGGCAGTGATGTGTGGATTGACAGGGGACTGGTTGATCTGGTTTGGAGTCTTCATATGCAAATTAAATTGCTCCATGGCTATTGGAATGAGAGCAGGATGAGCAACCCAGGTGCCGTCATGTCCAAACTTGACCTCTCTCTCCTTGTCCAACTTGACCTTCTCCATGGCGGCATCATTGGCCGCCTTGTTATCTTTGATGGGGATCTGAGCAGCCATGCCTCCCATGGCATGTACGCCACGTCTGTGACACGTGTAAATTAGCATCTTGACATAGGCCTCCATGAATGGACTGGTCATTGTAACTTTAGCGCGGTCTGGCAGAACAAACTGTGGATACTGGTTGAACTTCTTGATGAAGCTAAAGATATAGTCCCAACGACCACAGTTCAGACCAGCACTGTGCTCACGTAGCTCGTAGAGTATCTCGTCCATTTCGAACGAAGCCAGGATTGTCTCAATGAGTACAGTTGCCTTGATCGTACCAACTGGTACTTTTATGTAGTTTTGAGAGAAAACAAATACATCCTGTAGTAGTTGAAACATGTTGAGTTAGTCACAACCTATTATATCTAGATAAGGATAGTTACTTACGTTCCACAATCTGGCCTCCAAGTGACTCTCCATCTTTGGTAGATAGAAGTATGGTGCAGAACCACGGTTCAGAAGGATATTTGTGTTGTGGAAGAAGTAGAGTCCAAAGTCAAAGAGGGAGCCACTCATTGGATGTCCATCGACATAGATGTGTTCTTCGTTCAAGTGCCATCCACGAGGTCTGACAAAGAGAACCGCCACATTATCTTTGCGGAGGGAATACTTGCGACCATCAGACGAGCTGAACTCGATTGTTCGTCGATTGGCATCGATCATGTTGAGCTGGCCCTGGATGGAGTTGGACCAGTTGGGACAGTTGGCATCCTCAAAGTCGGCCATGAACACCTTGGCACCAGAGTTGAGTGCATTGATAACCATCTTGCGGTCGGTGGGGCCAGTGATCTCGACGCGACGGTCCTGGATCTCAGCGGGAACAGGTGCACATCGCCACTGGCCAGCACGAACAGCAGCAGTCTGTGACAAAAAGTCAGGGAAGACTCCGTTGTTAATCTCTTGTTGGCGCTTGCGACGTGCAGCGAGCAAGTCAATCCTTCTAGCGCCAAAGTTGCGCTCAAGTTCGACCAGGAATGCAAGAGCCTCAGTTGACAATATAGTATTGACATCTTTGTCCAACTGTCCTCTAATTTCAACGTTCCTTAAAGTAGAGTTCATTATTGTTTTATATATATATATATATTAATTAGTATGTATGTATGTATGTATTTTTATTTAATGTGTGTGAATGAGAGTAATCAGAATTGTTGTTCTAGACCAAGCACTGTTTGTGTGTGTGAAATTTCATTTCAATAAAGAGTGTCATTGTTGGCCTGAAAAGGAAATGATCCAGTGTTGTGTGTGTCACGTGATTGTAATACCAAACAGGAAAGACACAACTAAAATGCGAGACGAAGTTCAAGTTAAGATAATAGTAGTTGTCATCGATAGTTTACTTCTTCTTGCCAGCAGCAGCCTTCTTCTTGCTTGAGCCAGTTGTTGGTTTCGATGGTTTTGAATCCTCTTTTCCACCATCCTTTTTGGCAGTAGTGTCTTCCAATCCCTCCTTCAAATGCAACACCATGTAGTAAGCATCCTCCTTGTCTCCATAATACTGCTTCTCAATATCTTGAATACTAATATTTGTTTGACATATTGTCAGAGAGAGTGTCACCAAACTTGTTGTGTTGGATATATATATATATATATATATATTAGCAACTTACGTAAACTTCAATACCTCGTGGTAGAGACTGAATGCTGCCCTGTTGCTCTTTCTAACATGAAGTGAGACAGTGTCTGCGTCAAACACCTCTAACAGTGCCATCTCTGATCAGTGCAATAGCCACCACTCGGCTGGTTAGTTCCTCACTCTCTGAGATAGATTGACAACACCTCATCAATACATACGAGCTTGCTTCATCAACTTTGTCGCAATACCTAGTTTCCTCTGTGATCTCAAAACTGCCAATGATGTAATGTGTCCTTTCTTTGGGTTGTTCTCATCACTGTATTGATAGTCATTGTCATGGTCTGTGAGTCAACAGCTTGTGTCACTCTACCAAACCACAAGGGTCACTTACACTTTAGAGAGAACATAACCAACCAACTTACCATTATCATCCTCAGCGACAAATGATAGTTGGGGCCATGTCAGCACATGATAGAAGTAGTACTTTAGTTGATAATTCTCTGGCAGACATGTGAGATTGGCATTCTGCATCTGCAATAGGTCTGACACCTGTTTTCTATATAAGTATCGGTGTGTTTATATCTATTTGTTTGTATCACTTGATGTCTTACCTGACAGTTTCTAATGGATACCATTGTTTATATCTGATCAATCTCTATATCTATCTATCTATCTATTGAATGATGTAGAAAGGTCAGTGAAATGAATCTTGAGACCTCCCTTTTCGTCTTTTTTTCATTTGAATTACTTTCTATCAAACAAACAAATAATATATATAAAACAATGGATGATGGCAGAGAATCAATAGAGGTGCTGCCAACTGAACATGAGATTGAGGAGAAGAAGAATGGTAAGCGTCAGAAACAAAAGGTTCCTCTACAGCCTGGTCACAGTCAATTGGATTGGATGAGGATCCAGAGCGGAAGACACATGTCACAACAGGCTCGTCATGGTCAAATCTTCTCAATCGAGGAGTTGAAGAAACACAATAGACCAGACGATGCTTGGACCGTATACAAAGGAAGAGTGTACGATATCACTTCTTACTTTAGCTACCATCCAGGTGGTGATGTCCAACTAGCAAGGGCTGCTGGAAAGGACTGCACCAAGATGTTTGGTATGTGCTTACTCTCTGTCTATCTATCTATCTTCCCACAGACTCTAACAACATAATAACCTACTCCAACAACGACGACAGAGTTTAGACATGGATGGGTTAACTTTGAAGCAATGATGGATAAGTTATTCATAGGTTATCTGGAAAGATAGGGTTGGGCTGTCTGGCAAATAACCGCCACTGCCTTGGTACTACAAGTCGTCTATCTTGTCCAGCATGCTGCTCTACATGTAGATTAGGCGCTAAAGCTTTAAATATATATTTTTATTTAATTATTAAATTAAGTTACAAACTGGAGAGCCTCAGCAACCTGTTGCTGGCAACCAAAGAATAACAATGAATCTTAAGATTTAAGTCTAACCTTAATTTATTTAATTATTAGCTTTTTGTGTTTAACAACAAGTACGAGTGTTGACTGGAATACTAGTGATAATGAGTATATGTATAACAGATAAAAAACACCTTAATAGTATAATTGATGAACTGACTTGTATTGTCCAGTTAGTTCAAGTCGTTGGGTAATTCAATTCATTTCGATTATTTGGAATTTTTCATAATTAATTTGGAAGTTCACTGCAAAACACAGCATCATGCAGTCAGTCAGGTAGCTTGTACAGATAATAGTAATTGGCAAATACACTTGCTCATTGTTTATTCGTCCGATTTGGATGTATCACTGGAGTCTTTCCTGATGTAGGGAGCAAGCTCTTGTCTCTGGAGCATCTGGAGGTACGTGTCAAGCCGTGTCAGTCCGATGCGATGCTCCTCGATGTGGAAGCGCATTATTTGCGCGATGTGCTCATAATACTCCACAACCTCCTGGAGTTTGTGGAAACTCAGCTCCTCAGTGGTGTAGTCTGACTGATTGAGATCGAGGGGCCCTTCTTTTCTGGCCCTCTTGACAGGACGAGCGGGCTCCTCATCGAGACTGATTGGTGCTTTTCGAGTGTCGAGAACAATCATCTGTGATCTGTGACCACCATGTCAGTTAAAGTGTCAAAGTCCAAGGTCAATCATACATACTTACTTGTCATTTAAAACCGTCACAAACAAAAAAAAATAAAAAAAAAAAAAAAAAATACTTGCCTTGAGCTGCCCAAGATCGCCTACATCCGCTCTTATCTT